GTAAGCCCCGCCATACAGTACATCCAATGCAGCTCTACATTTGTCAGCAAGAATCACGATTGGTGGAAGATCAACTTTCGTGTATTTGACGTGATTTCTTTTTCTAATTGTTACTTAAAGTGCTAGTTATATCTCAAACCAATATTCTTAATATTCTGAATTTTTTCACTCCGATTACATTCGAAATACCAGATTCCTCAAATATTTTCTGAGTGATCAATTTACTTTTATTGATCATAAGACTTTCCTCAGGTCCCTTTTTCTTACATTCGTAAAGGAAGTTTTTCTTTCGCGTTCTTATCTTGTAAAAGTTTTAAATGCTTTTATTGATTGCTTAATATTTCTTTTGCAATATCCGACGTTGTATTCCCATCAAATATAAAATATCTTCTTACTCTTTTATGGTTATATCTTTCATACGACGAATGGCATTCTCTGTGTTCTTTCTTTTTATGTGCCATGTCTTTTCAAGTTGTATGATAGCCCTCTATCTCTTGCAGCTCTCAACAAGTTCCTTCCCTCTGCTTCCTCTCCCAGACCACGTTCTTTCATCCACTTGATTAAGTCCGCCGGGTATGACACGCGTTATTTCCCCTTGTTTCTCTTCCCCTCTATTCGACCAGTGAGTATAAGATTCTCCAGCTCCTCTTTCCTCATTATGTGTCCCAGAAACTTCATCTGCCTCTTCCTAATATTAAGTATAAGCCTCCTCCTTGTTTGCAACCTCTCTAAGATCTCGTCGTTTCTTACACGCTCGATCCATAATATCCTTAGCATCCTTCTGTAGAACCACATCTCCGTCGCCCCGAGTCTCTTCTTCATCTTTCAGGAAATCGTCCAACATTCGCTGCCGTAAAGAAGGACAGCTGTCATGTAACAGTTCAGTGTTCTTTTCTTTGTTACCAAAGAAATCCTCATGTCTCGCAGTACTCTACCCAACAGTTGGAACGTGTCCTTTCCCATCCCAATACGCCTACGGATCTTAGTGTTGCACTTACCATCCCCTCTCAACAGATCTTTAAACTTCCGCGTCTGCTTGATTCTAGTGTTCCCGACCTTCACATTGCATTTCGGGATCGTCCTCTTACTGATGAACATGAATTCTGTCTTCTTGTTTTTTATGCTTAGTCCTTTCTTCTCACTCTCCGTCGCTAGCTTCTGTAAGGAGTTTTGTAATTTCTTTTCCGTTTCTATTATCAGTAGTGTATGTCATTTGCGCATCTGTTGTAGAGTAGTTTTTACAGAGGAGGCTTGTATTTCAATAAGTCGGTCCTAAAAAGGGTCCGACGTACAAAACGTTAGGAACTTGCAATAATAATTAATGACGCAGCAATCTCGTTGTGATGGTTGATACTTCAATGTCCGACAGACTCACTCAACTCCACTGAGCTCAACTGGTCACTGCGACTACTACTTATTATCCGTGGGAGAGTCTATTACAATAGAATAGGTAATGTTCTGGTATAACAGTATCCTATATTGTTAACATTGTGGTCGACACCATATATATATTTATTTAAAATAAGGAAAAATTGAATTGCATGAAGAAAAATTCAAATCATGGAATAAGTTACTCTAAATATTTATTATAAAATTATTATAAGCAAAAAGCAACTCTACTCTCGACTCATCTGAAATATTTCTGCCTTATTTTCTCCCATAGAACAGGGCCCATGCTGAGTAATATGCACATAATTCCGTCCATGCTTTCTGCTAGCATTTCTAAGTCAGAGACCCACAATTTCGACGTTATCCCTGCTATTGTGCTAAAGAATTTTGCACCTTTCACTGGCTTCTGTTCTCATCAAACTTTACAATAAATGCCTCACTGCCTCTTGCCTTCCAGCTTGTTAGAATTCCACCTTTGTAGTTCATGTTTTTAAGAACTACACTCCTATATATTGCCTCATCTTAGCAAAATACTCGAGGCGCTAATCAACGCCGAAATGATTAAGTATCTTGCAGGTTCCTTTTGGATAAAAAAAAAATATGGCTTCCGTTTCCCCAGATCAACCGCAGATGTGTTAACACTCATCACTGAATTTGTCTGTCAAGCTTTAGATAAGAATTGCGTAGCTCGGGCTGTGGATCTAAATATCTCAAAGGCGTTTAAAATGGTCTGGCATGCTGGCCTTCTCCACAAGCTCCTATCCACCGTGTCTCTGGACTAATATTTGGCTTCGTCTAATCGTTCCTAAGAAATCATGTAAGGAAGAACGCACTAAATAATTTCATTTTAATGCATGTTTCCCCAAGGGTTTGTCTTTGGATCTACGCTGTTTCTGATCTTCATTAACAAACTTCCCAATGTCATCAGTTTCCAACAAGATATTATGCAGATGAGACAAAAACTTACTCCTCTCTTAGCAGCAAGTTCGACAGACCCGGTAAAGTAAATCTAACAATTGGATTCAAAAACAAATTCTAATCAGTGGCTAACTAGAGTAAGGAATGGCTTGTAAATTTTAACGCCTCCAAAAAAGACTGCTCTCAAAAAGAACTTCGAATCAGTGGCTAACTGAGGCAGGAAATCGCTTGTAAATTTTAACGCCTTCAAAACAAAACTGCTTTCATTTAATCACCACAGAGAAATTTTTCTTTCTACTACCAGTATGGTTGATGCTAAACTCCAGAACAACACTTTCCGCTTTCTTGCTCTCACTTTTTCCATTGACATATAGTAAAGTGATTATATTGAATCATTTACTATGTCTACTGGGTGGAAATTTGGTTTACTGCGTCATGTCAGACAATTTTTCGCATCAGAATCCATCATGAACATTTATAAATCTCTTATTCTCCAAGAGTTCCTACTATATGGTGCTCCATATCTGAAGGAGCTTGACCAAAATTCAAAATGTATGTGATGTAAATGATCCTGACCTGGCATCTGAACTTCATTTACTTTCTCACCAACGTGACATTATTTCCCTCTGTTTTCTCTCAAAATATTTTCATGGCAATCGTTTTTTTTTCATTAGTGCCCCGACTGCACGAATTTAAGCCTGCTACTAGATGCTTACCTATGTCTTACCGTTCCACCTTTTGAACTAGCTTTGATATAACCGTCTGTTCTATATTAACAGTTTCTTTTTCCGCACTTCTCTCCAATGGAATTTCCGATTTCTTGCTTTCCTTGTATCTACAATCTTGACAAAAATTAAATACAACCTCACTCGTCGTCATCGCCGTTTCTGAATCCTGTTCTGTTTTTATCCTTTTCCTCACTTCTCTCTCATTCTCTTTCTCTCCCTGTAAACCCCTGTTTTACAGTGTTATGAATTGTTTGGAGTGAAATGTTTAAACAATAAATAAATAAGCCGTAACCTCTATAGGGTCCATTGTTTCTCTATCAACTATTTTACAATATAAATATTCCCATGGGCTATATAATATAATATGAATTTACAACAGTCTGGCTAAATAACCGAACATTTTGCCCAGATAAATGCCTTTTCATTTCTTATTTTTTTATTCAAACATTTTAGTATAGCGCAGTAACAGTTTCTACTGGATTCACAATTCAAAATTCCTATTGAATCTCATAAAACCGAAAGAACTTTCTTCAATAAATTCTGTTTACGTGGAAATGTTGAAAAGTCACCCAGAATCGGACTCCAGTTTTTATTTTTGTACTTGTTCAGACGTGGTTTAATCTTGTGTTCCACCAATTCAGATATTCACAGCCTTACGGTTTGGACACGTCATGCCAGTTTCACAGAGTTTAATCCTCCTTATTTCCTCAGTGCTCTAAATGTAAGAACTAAGCGCCACTCCAACAGTGTCATTTTGTGGAACAGACAAGCATGTGGAATCTTCCCGAACACTTAAAGCTTGACCTTTTCAAGTCAGGGGTCAATTGTGGTCTTCTTTCTATATCCTCATAATATTTAATTCCAATCGTTTCCCGCCCATTCATATTATACACGCCTCGTTCATTATTACCATTTTGACGGTAGTCCACTACCTTATATTACCATGGTATGGATGTGCAGATGGTGTAATGGATAGCGGCTTGGAAATAGAACTTGGATATCCGAGTTCGAATTCCAGTCGGATTCGTTGCATTCACTTATGAACAAATACCCAGGGGAAGGGTATGGTCCCATTTCCTGCTATGGGTTAAAGTAGTAGCTTTGGTATCTGTAAAATTATTCTTATTCTCAAAAAAATATTAATCTAATATTCACAAGCAAAAAAAAAGAATTTTTCTTACAAACCGTAACATGTCTAGGATTTAAATCATAGAATTGATAATCTGTAAAAAAAATGATCTTCGATCTACCTTGATTGGCTCTTGTATTGGATGAAATTTAGTAAAATATAAAATATTTTAAGCATATGTAATTAGTTCAAAATTGAATTCTTTTAGTATCAATTATGAAGAATATATTTTTTTGCTATTTTTTGTGGTAATTATTTTTTCTACTTCAGCTTGTAAAAGACTTTACTACAGATGATTGATTGCATCGAGCCATAAAGAGCTGAGTACACTCCATAGAAACTTCTAAAATCTCTTCAATATTTTGTCAAAGATGGCGCTAGGAACTTTTTCTTCAGTCTATTAATCACTGTCGATTTTCTGCCTTCTGCTTTCTCTTTGTTCTCGAATCAACCTACACAGTTTCTTAGTCAATTAGCACAACGGGTAATGCAACGACAATAAATGAATTAAAAGAAACATTTTTCTGTAGCGAGCCTTGAAGGAAACGATTCCATTTTAAAGAATGTGGACAGAAAGATGCTCTTCTCTTTTATCATTTAGTACACACACATGGGCAGAAAGATAAGCATTGATATCATATGTGTAGGGCGGTATTCATAATAAGATTAATAGGCGGATTATTGACTGATGGAAGATTGTCCAGTGCCAATTTCATGTGGAAAGAAGATCACCTCCTCTTAGCAATAAGTACTGAAAATGCTAGTTTGTATCTGGATTTATTATCTACCAAATGAAATATGGAGAAAATTCGACATCGTTTGACTAAGTCGGCAAATCAGATGTAGTTAAAAGAATGTGATAGATAGATAGATAGATAGATAGATAGATAGATAGATAGATAGATAGATAGATAGATAGATAGATATGAGCGGGTTGAGATAGTTAGGGACATACAGACATGCAGAGAGACAGATATAAATAAACATAGGCATGAACAGATTCTGATAGATAGATAGATAGATAGATAGATAGATAGATAGATAGATAGATAGATAGATAGGTGTTGAGAAATTGCGACAGATAGAGAACAGAATTTAGATAGATAGATACATAGATAGATAGATAGATAGATAGATAGATAGATAGATAGATAGATAGATGTTGAGAAATTGCGACAGATAGAGAACAGAACAGAGATAGATAGATAGATAGATAGATAGATAGATAGATAGATAGATAGATAGATAGATAGATAGATAGATGTTGAGAAATTGCGACAGATAGAGAACAGAATTGAGATAGATAGATAGATAGATAGATAGATAGATAGATAGATAGATAGATAGATAGATGTGAAAGTACTCTATACGGCATTATACTGCAGAAAGTTATCTGTTACAATGTAATATATCCCACAATTCCCTCTTTGATTTTTTTTCATTTATTTGTCATTCTTTTGTATTCTATTTCCACATGGTGATATCTATATATCCATCTAACTAGTACCTTCTAAATTATTTTTTTTTAAATAATGACTACTTGCTGAATAGCGAATTTCGTATTACTAGAGAATAACACTGGTCTAAAGCAGGCTGTTCTGAGCTGATATAATTTTTCATCAGTTATCTCGAGGGCCGTGGAAGTAATTAATGCTCCACTGCGCGAGTCGAATTTTTCTCTTGTGTCTGTAGAACAAAGGTTGCTATGGCAACTGCAAGTCAAATTAGAGCGCATTATTACCGTTCTTTATTTTTAGCGTCTGATTCCCAGCAGAGGTGCATATTTTGACAAGGTGTACGCAGATGGGTTAGGGGACGCTGTTGTTCCTTTCTTATTTAAAGTAATGGTTCGATTGATGGCGATTCGGATGTGAAAAATAATCTACCGACAATGCTCACTCAATCATTTTTTTTTTTTTTACTTGCGCTTTAACATCTTCCTGATTGACCAGTGCCGTTAAGCAACATCACAACGGATCATTAGAAATGGGGGATTGATAGAAAGTTTTCACCAGCACTGCGTACACGCAGACACACGCACACACACACACACTCGAACACACACACATTTTGTAATCGTTCGGTCCATTCGTCAGGAGATATTAGCAATAATCTATAGTGGGGATATATATATATATATATATATATATATATTTTGTGCGTATGTATGTGTGGGTGTGTATGTGTGTACAGCAAATAATCCGTTGGTAGATAATCCAAGTGAATCCTAATAATAATCCATAGGAGTTGTTGGTTGAGATAACTATTTGAATGAGGTTAATTTGGGTTTCTATTCTACATAATATATATTTATATATATATATATATATATATATATATATATATATATATATATATATATGACAAAGGGAAAAATTTTACTTGTGTCGCGTTACGTCTTTCAAGATCCATATCGCAGTGTAGAAAAAGAAAAGTGTGGTGAAAAGAAAAGAAAAAACTCTAAATGAATTCGGCTGAAAAAGACAATTCTAAAATCCCCCGCACCAATCTGCAGCATGTTGTGTCCTACCAAGGTAAAAAAATTATTCCGATGAAGTCCTGAAGGACGAAACGCGTCACAAGTAAACTTTTCCACCTTTTCTCTTTTCATAAGATGTATATATATATATATATATATATATATATATATATATATATATATACAATGAAAACAAATGAAAACTACAGAGAAAAAAGTTCATTTTCTCCAACAAAAGACATTCATTTCTGTAGTTCACTGCCAACAGCAAGCAGAAATATTTCTCCTCCCGATGATGGACATTTCGGTCGAAACTAGTCGAGGAATCTAAATGGAATAATAATAATAAAAAAACGAAAGAATATTAAACTACGACCCAGTGTGTCTAATGATTTTAATTTTTTAATTTTTTATTTTGTTATTGTTCAAAAAAAAAATATATATATATATATAATAAAAGGTGAAAATTCATAGATAAATTTTATATATATATATATATATATATATATATATATATATATATAATATAATATAATATAAAAAGTGAAAATTCAAACATAAATAAATCTATGAAAAGATCACTAAAGTATCACTAAAGACAAAAGGGACACAATATTTTTACCAACGTGTTTCGTCCTTTGAGAGACTTTATCAATGTAAATGTAAGGATTTTATTTTGCAACATTTAATTATAAACAAAAATAAAATAATGTTAAATTTTCATTTTTTTATATATATATATATATATATATATATATATATATATATATATATATATATATATATATATATATAACACAAAAGGTTTCTAAAAAGGAGTACACTTTAAAAAATATGCCGGAAAGTAGAATGTTCAATGAACCACGTGCAGATCATATAATATAATGCTGCATGGGTGAACGACTATGCATTCTTCAGGCAGTCAGTAGGATATATATATATATATATATATATATATATATATATATATATATATATATATATATATGTATGTATGTATGTATGTATGTATTCCCATTCAACACCATCACCAGAATGTCAAAACAAAATTGCAACTTTTGATCTTATAACATGCATATGTCATAAATTTGAAAATATATATACGTGTGTGTCTGTGTGTTTGCTTATGTGTGTGTCTGTGTGTGTAAATGTGTATTTGGCCAGCAATACGTCTTTTATACGGATTTCATTAAAGACAACTGACAAGGTACTGTTTCTCGTGTTCTTAAATGTGTTTTCATTCCTGGACATAAAGTGTGCAAAAACTGTTTAAACAAACTTCATATCCAAACGCTTTCGGCTATTCGTTTAGGCATTATCAAGGGCGATTTTTATTTTTAACTGAACGGGTTGGATTTTTTATGTATGTATTTGAATTGATCGGAATGTTTTATTTTCCAAACACGGTCAGCACAGTGTGGCCGTGTTCGTAGTAAATGTATTTGAATGTTGGCTTTTCCATTTTATTATTAGGGCTTCCATTATTTTTAACCTTTTTTTTACATGTGTATGAGGCTATTATATATTGTATTTTCGGGGCGAGTTCGGTAGGTTTTTGTATGTATTTAAATGAGTCCTAATTGAGCGATAGTCCGGTAGGTGTAACGTGACTCGTCTAGATAGGCATGTAATAGAATGACCAATGTAATTATTTATATGTTTGGTTTGATCAGGGACAAAAGTCCTTAAGACGCATTTGAACTTGTAAATAATGTTGGTTTTATGTAGTTTTGATTTTGCGGATGTTTTATTTTTTATGATAGTGTTAGCTGTTTTACATTTTTTTATAGTAGATAATTAATTTAATTTTCTTGTTCAGATCGACTGGGGTTATGTATCTTTTCATGATATTTCTAAGAGAAAATTCGTCTTACTTATAGTTAACATGTATTTGGCTTTTGGAGAAGATGTTAGTTTATGTTTTTTTTTTCTCTATGTTTATCTGTATGTTCAGTGCTGTTATTAGAAAAGAATGACTTCAATGTCGATTTAGAACAAAATAGTGGAGTTGTTATGTTGCGTTGCAGCTTCAACCAAACACCAAGTTCGTTGACAGGAAGCAGCTTTTTTCCAGTCAAACACTTGTGGATTAAAAATTACCCTTCGGCCACACCATTACCTACGAGTAAAAAAAACAAAACAATTTTTATTCTTGTGTAGTAACCTACTGCTTATAAACGAGCGAAGTTGGGATAAGAAGTGGGTGAGGAGTGAAAGTAAACAGTCTAACGGGTGTCTTCCTTGTCTGTCGTTCTCCAAGATACGCTTCGTGTCTCCGTCTGTGAAATTAAATGTTCCGAATTCATTTTTACGACAAATCCATCTGTTTCCACTTTAACAAGTCCTTAACTGACTGATATTGTTACAGTTCGATCTTCACTTTCTAAATTTGATAATGTTCATAATCGTTTGCCATATCTTATGGGTAAATACTTATCACCCATTCTATAGCCGCTTTGTTTTAAGTTATTAAGTTTCACCCAATACAAGCCCAAGAGCCATTGATGGTAGAGGGATACTAAACGAGTTGTGTGATATGGACGTAAGAGAAGGTAAAAGGAAGTGAATATCGGGAGCATAAAGAGGATGAGATAACGACTGATATTTGACCTGAAGGCGTCGAAATTGGAAAGTTCAAGAAAAGTATACATGAGGCAGTTTTTCTACAAATTAGTATTTCTCTAGAAAAAGCTGTCTGAGCAAAATTCCCTCATTAAAACACGGGGTAAATGAAGATGTTTCGACTCCGTGGACGAAGCATGACGTAAAGGCCGATATTGGTGGAACGAAAGAGTCGAATAAATCGGAACATCTTCCATGGAAATAGCGATAGACTTGCGATTGACTATGCTAGAAAAAGCAAAATCTTTTGTTACTAAATGTCCATCCAATAAAGGCCAAAGCGCCACACAAGTTGGAGGTTTTTTGTATGGACTTAAGGAGGAAGTAAGTGTAAACTATGATATGTAAGGTAGATAACGGTTGACCCAAGATTTGAAGAGGCGAAGATTGTAATAATCGGGAAAGCAGTTTTTATATATTCATTATTATTTACAACGACTTGTAGCTAATAATCATTTGTAAGATTCCGCAGTTGTTGAAATGGAAAGATTTTCGACGGACTCTTGAATTTCGTATTCATTAGATAAAGTTTACGCATCAAAACGTTTTGCATTGATTGGTGCAATGTCAAGTGAATAGGGTGAGCTGGACAAACCGTCTTTCTACTTTTATCAAGGTTATTCCTGCTATATAATTTTGTTCTCCGGTACAATATTTCTCCTTTAATCTAATGTGTATACTAATACTGTCATACAAAATTAAGGTATATTAGTGAACTCACAATGTATTCTTAACTGTCACATATGATCATTTGTTAATCGTCATTACAATTTGTTCCCAGAAACAGAAATTAGATATGACTAATATTTAGACCAATGGAGTGTATTCGAAATTTAAAATCCAGAAAATAAAAGACGTCATAATGGTACACAATAATATTCGCCCACCTGTTACAAGAATGACATAAGTGAAGTGTAATCATTTAAGTAATGAGAAGCCAATAATAAATTCTTCACTTTTATTTACCTTAAATTTATCTAACTGCTGAATTATACCTTAATTTGGCTACCTTGAGAATAATTAGGAGAAAGAAGGAATAGAAAAGGAATCTACTATTAGCTTTTGTTAAAGCTAAGGGAGGAACTAGAATTTATTAGAAACTTAAATGTGTTTATAGCCTGTTTCGGTGGACGTTTCTAAAAAGAAAATAACAAGACACAATCAAGGATTTAATCAATGAGAAACAGCTTCATTAAACTCAATAGAAAAGTTCTTATTGTTTTTTTACATTAAAATTATATAATATCAATCACCCTATATTGC